GGCCGGCTCGGGGACAAGGGCGGGCTGGAGGTGTTGCCGGCCAGCTCCCGCAGCCTCCGGGAGAAATCCATAGCAGGGGGCTCCATCGCCATGGGGTTCAGTCGCAGCACCCTGTCAAAGGCACTAGGGTGATGGGTGGCCAGAGCCATTTCTTCCGCACCCAGGCGCTCAATGCGATGCGGATCCAAATGGTGCCTCGGGGGAGGGCTAAAGAGGGGCGGCGTGGGTGGGAAACGCCCTTCTCCCAGCCCCGACGCCTCCCTCGAGACCGAGCCGGGTATTCTGAGCAGGTTAAAAGGGTTATTGTCTGCAATGTGAATCCCGTGGAGAGGTGGCTGGGAAGGGCACTCTGCACCTAGTCCTGTTGGGATACCAACCCGTGGCGTCAGGGGGCTGCCGTGCTCGCTTTCTAGGTAGATCCGTAAGCCGTGCGTGTTCTGTGCGTGCTGCAAGAGGAACCAGGCGCTGTTGAAAGGCTGTTTACAAGTCGTACACGTGTAGCTGCTGGGCTCGTCTTTACCTGCAAAATAACACAACAAGCAGCGTCAATCTCCAGCCGCCCACCGGCGAGCGAGAGCTCACCTCCCCGCCTAAACTCCTCTCCTCTGGGATGCTCAGCTGGGAGCTGGGGAAGGGATGTCCCAGCTCAGGCGCGGGAAAGGGGACGGGAGGAAGTGTGGAGTGCAACAGGGAGGTCCAAACCCACCCGAAACGTGCCCACCTCCTCCTGCCATCCCTAGGCCCTGGTTCAAAACTGAACCCTGGCAAGCAACGGCAGCAAAAAAAAAAAAAAAAAAAAAGCTAAAAACAAAACCAAAAGCATCCAGGACAGCATAAGTTCTGCTGCAGTCCTCTTGCTTGTTTTCTTTTCTAGCGCGTATTCAGCCAGCTACGACTCAGCAGACTTCATGCTGCAAGAGGCTGTTAACATTTAAACTAGGGAGAAAATAAAATGAATAAACAAATACATCAATAGATAGCTAGATAGATATAAAATAAATAAATCCCCTTCTGAAAAGCACTCCAGAAAACTATGTACATTGGTTCAAAGCAGCCACCCAAAGCATCAGGACTGCCAGCAACCTGGGCAACGTCACGTTATTAGCCCCCTCCTTTCTTTTGAGAGACTAACAGTGTGTTCAAAATTAGGCAGCATCTCCTGCTCCTTAGCAAATTTGACTCTGGGGCAAAAAATTAATGCAAAAAATAGAATTAAATAATAAAACAGAGCACGGGACAGGGAGAAGGGAAGGCAGAGAGAGCGGCAGGGCGGCCAGGGGAAAA